ACTCGTACCTATCAGATTGGCAGAATTGGAAAGTCTGACAAAACCAAGAGTTATAAACCGTATGGGTAAATAGAAATTCATCCGCGGCTGTTGTGAGTATGAACTGGTATCACCACTTGGAAGCGAAAGTTGCCAATAGCTACAGGGTTGAAGAGAAGCATATGATTTGAGTCAGCATCCTCCTTAAGTAATTCCTCTTCCAGGCCGACATCCTAGAGAAAATCTTGTACATGAACTCTAGGGAATATGTATAAGGATGGTCACTGTAGCATTTGTTTATAACAACAAAAACTGAACAGCCTAAAGGTCCATCAACATAGGAATGGATAAATAAACAGTGGCAGTTATGATTAAATCTTATTGTTCTTGCATCGCCCTCTCTCACAGTATGAAAGGCTATGATGTACTCCTATATTTACTAAAAAAAAATTTATTATGGTAAAATACACATAACATTTACCACCTGAACCATTTTTAAGTGTACAATTCAGTCGTAGTTCAGTACATTCACATTGTTATACAATTTATCTCCAGAACTCTTATCTTGCAAAACTGAAACTCTATACCCATTAGACAATAACTCTCCATTCCCCCAACCTCCAGCCCCTGGCAACCACCAATCTACTTTCCACCTCTATGATTATGACTACTCTAGGTACCTTAGATAAGTAGAATCACACACTACGTGTCTTTTCGTTACTGGCTTATTTCACTTAACATAAGGTCCTCGAGGTTCGTCCATGTTGTAGTACATGTCAAATTTTCCTTTCTGTTTAAGACTGTATAATATTCCATTATATGGATATACCACATTTTAATTATTCATTCATTTTTCCGTCAGTGGCGCCTGGGTAGCTTCCATGTTTTAGCTATTGTGAATAATGCTGCTATGAACTTGGGTGTGCTCTTCATTCAGTTTTAAATTAACATCAAACACTTTTCATCATTAATAGTTGTAAAACATGTTATTTCCAATGTGTCGTATTGATATTTTAAAGTAAAATCTTTACATCACTCTTTTTGTTTCTAATAGACTATAAATAAATAACCTATCAATTTTATTTCAGCCATCGCCTATTTAAAAAATACAAGAACAAGTGCTTCTGTAACTTTTGGCAGTTTTTCATCATTCTTTTTTCTCTTTAAACTTATGAATTCTATCCCACTTCCTCCATAGAAGTGTATTCTAATGGAATAGGTTCATATGCTGGAAGATCTTTTATTGATCATTCTTCTCTGCCAAAAATGTACAAAAGGTGAAACTTTAATTTCCTGTAACCATAAATTTCTAAGCATTAAAAAGTTATTTAGGTTACTCCATTATTCAAACTTGTACAATTATTCAAAAAACATAAAGAAGTTACAAATTTTGAAAATTAATTTTAAACCTAAAAAGTAACATTTAGTGATATTGTACTATATAGTTAAGCAAGATGTTACCTTGGGGAAAACTGGGTGAAGGGAATTCAGGATCTCTCTGCACTATTCTTATAACTGCAATGTCAATCTACAATTATCTCAAAATAAGAAGCTTCATTAAGAAGTAACTTTGAGGGGAAATTCAGCTCTTAAAGAGTTGGATATGTTCAATTAGTTAATGAATCCCTAAGGTAATATCACTTATTGCTAGGTGAGACAAGATTCTTACTCTCTCTACCCTATCCAAGCTTCGACTAAGGATCCCCAAAACATAATTCGAGCTGTCCCAGCTTCCTCTGGCTGGGATGCCCTCCTCTTGGGATGCCCTCCTCCTGAGATGCCTTCTTCCTGGGATGCTTTCCTCTCTTTGCTTTTGATGCCTTGTGGTGCACTTTAGTATGCTCAGTGATATGTATATTTTTACTTATCCTATTTGACACTCTGAGAGCATTTGTGTCTTTAATTGTGGAAAACCTTCAGCCGTGATCTTTTCCAATATCCCACCTCCACATTCCCTTTATTCTCTTCTTTCTGAAAACCTATTAAACATTTCATAGTACTGAGCATTTCACATTCCACATCTCAACAGCTTTTCAAACTGCTTTTGTCCTTACTGCTTCTGTGTTTATCTCCTTGCTTTATGTTCTCTGTGAATTCCTTAATTCTAGCTTCCATTTTACTAATTACCCCTTCAACTATGTCCAATCTAGAGTATATCCTGGTTTATATCTAAAGTTTTCATTTCCAGTATGCTCAGTATATATCACTATTCAATTGTTCTTTCTTAATTTCTGTATTTTGTACATGTTTATTTTCTTTATTTTAAACTTTTTTTAGACTTTACACAATTTGCATCTCTTCTGGAATGACTTCACATCCCAATTTGAGTTAAATACACACACACACACACACACACACACACACACACACACACACATATATATATACACTTTGAATGCATCTACATTCTCTCCTTCCTCTTCTTTTTCTTTCAGTCATACCATGACTATGCGTTAAAACCTGGTACTGACACCATCTTGACCACGAGTCCAATGCCTCATTCTAACCAATTCAACTTCTTTCCTAATTCTAACCTTATCTTCAAACCAGCCATTTTGTAAAGCTTTTCTTGACCACTCTTACCTGGTATTAACTATCTCTGCCCGCCTCTGTTTGGCTCCTCCCTGCTTTTGTCTTCAATTAGCATGTACCAAACATGGTTTCTTGAAGACCAAGTGTGTGCCACACCCTCAGCTAGGCATTACAGTATATACGTAAGAAAGACAAGGCCTCTTCCTCAAGGAACCAAGGGTCTGGTCATCAAACTGGTTGAACCAACAAATTGTTGCTGTGCAGAAGAAGTACTCCTGTCCAGGGATGCTAAGGTCCAGGTGACACTGAGAAGGATGTTGTTTATACTGCACAGGAGCAGGAAGAGGCAAGGAGCTGAGCTCCAGAGAGAGGGGATGCTTGAGATGGGTCTTGAAGAAAAGGAGTTTACTAAGCAGAGATGAGGACATTCCAGGCTGAGGGAATAGCATGTTCAGTGGCACTCAGGTGGAAAGAACAAGGACCCTCTCAAAAACAGAGAGACACCAAGCCTAGGACTTGTGAAGAAGGCAAGCAGGAAAGGATTGAGATGCAGCTGCAGAGCTGAGTGTGCAGAGCCTTAGGCAACATTTGGGGACTACCCGATGTTCTCCTAGGGACCATGCAAAGCCCTTGCAGATGGAAGCAGAGAATTGGCAGGACAAGGTTTTCACTGGAAGGGACCAGAAGCAATGGAAGGGATCAGAAAAGAAGTTGGATGGCCGTTTGGGAGACCCCTGAAAAAGTCCAGGCAAGCGATGAAAGCAGCCTAGATGACCTTGGAGGTCCCAGGGAAGAAGAAAGGGGGAGTGGCAGAAGTGAGGTGATTGAATTAAAGCAAGGCCTGATAACTCTAGGCCCAAACAAGCTGACTCCTTAGACAAGGAAAGACAGCAGGCAACTTCCACAGCCATGATTCCTGCTTGTCTCTGAATGAGCATCTTAGGAACTGTGGCGCAGAGCCCTGATTAATTTTCTACCATGGCCCTGCCCGGTTATGCATTCTAAATACATGTCAATTGAAATTATTTTATTTCCATGTTTTAAGAACAAACATCTTCAGAAAAATAAAGACCTGTTTAAATTCAGCATAGAAACCGATTAGTCTTTTACTCTCTTTCTCTCTCTGGATGTTTTCAAATATAAGGAGCTTGCATGGCAGAGTACAGTGGTTCTCATTTCTACACACCATCCAGCGTGAGTGCTGCAGCATGGGAGATGGGAACTTACCTGGAGGTGAAGGGCAAGCCTCATCAAGCCCTTTTCACATCTGGTCCTAGAGCAAGCAAGCATCCCTAGAACTTTTGCAACTGCATCTGCTCTCCTGCCTGCTACAGAGCGGATGTCGTTGTGGTTACATTGAGAATCCACCAAGTTCTGTGAAAAATATCATTGGGGTCACAAAACCTCCTTGGTGGGTTTGACATGTTTCTTTGGCATTCCCCTCACCCTTCGTCGTGCTCTGTACAAAGGGGCTACCACTCCCATGGCTGGTACTTTTCTTAGCTGTAAGGCTGGAAAGCCTCCAAGCCAGCAGCAGCTCACTTCCAGGAGTCTAAGATGGGACTACTCTATTTTCAGTCATTGCCCTCCCAAATCTGACCATCATCATACTCAGAGGCATAGTTCTCAAGATCCAAATATCTGCAGGTTGACTCTGGCTCTTCTCCATGCATCCTCCACTAGGCAAAATATACTTTCATAACCGTCCATCCTCTTTACCACCCTCCTGATTGCATCCTTTGGCCAGCAGAGCCATTTAACACGCCTCTTTGCAGTGGGAACAGAGAGATGATGCAAAATAGGAAGCTGCTATTTAAAATGAAGATTGCCATGTCGGTGGCCTGTCTGGACTTGGCTGTTACCTTCATTTATGTGAGTTAAGACACAGCATTGTGTCTACATAACCAAGGATACACACACACACACACACACACACACACACACACACACACACACACACACATGCCAGGGGATCTATTCATAACTATCATTACAAAGGGTTTCCTTCCCCAACCTCCCTCAGCTTTAATTTGAAAATGTTTCAAATACTGGTGCAAGTCCTCAATGACACAGAGGCATTATATCTACTACAGCCTTGCTTAAAAGTGAGAAACTGCTTAAATGAAAATGCATCCATTTAGAAGAATGGGGGTAGTTCTAAATGTGTTGACATGACAAGCTTTTCTTCTACTGTTAGATAAGAAAGGTAAAGTTGCAAAAAAATATATACATAGCATAACTGCATGCGTCTAAAAACTATGCATAAACATTTGTTTATGCACAGATAACATCTGAGGAACATACTCAAATGTAACAGTGATTTTCTTTGGAGAATGGATGATGAGGAGGAAAATTGAGAGAGAATTTTCTCTGTATTCTTTTTTGTATTGTCTGAAGTTTTTCAAGAATATTTAATTCTTTTAAATTAAAAGACATTTAAAGAACTGTTCTAAATAAAAAATGTTAAATGTTCCATGTTAGAGTAAGCTCCTTAGATGCTTCGAGAAGGGGTATGAGAGCATCAAAATCAAAGTAATTTTTTTTTTTAAAGCCCATTCAACACAAGTTCAGACCGCACAGAGGGACTGCAGTTCCATAAACACAGCTCAGCCCAAGCTGTGATGTGCCATCCAGGGGACACAGTCCCCACTGAACAGAACTCACAGGTGAGGCAGACACATGGAACAGATAATGCCAGGTGGCTTGACTCTAGAACCAAGCAATGTGAAGATCACCTAATACAAGATTCAAGTGGGAAGACCGGGGAACCCCGAAGAAACTGAGGGAAGGCACCCACTTGCTCTGGAAGGTTTCAGGACAGCAACAGACAAAAAGGAAGGAAACACATGTGTGCCAAGGCCAGACAAGGGAAACTGCCTTCGCTCACATGTTCACTCAAACTACTCACATCCCTGCCGGGCACTCAGAGACAAGGATACAGAGAAATGAGGTCCAAGTCCCACAGCACTGGAGCTGGCCTCAGGACTTAAGCAGAAAGCCTTCCAAGCACAGGGAATAGCAAAGGCAAGGGGAGCCCTGAGTTTAGACAACCTCACGCTCTGTGAGAATGCAGTAGGGGACCAGGCAGAGGTGGGCGAAACCAGCATCCAAACAAAGGCTTTGATCCAAGTCAAGTTTAAGCATCTGTCCAGTCCTGCAGGTCACGGGAGGTGGCAAGAGAGACACTATCGGATCCCTTTATGAGACTAATGTTCACAGCCGGTGGTTGGAGGACTGAACAGGAAAGAGACTGGAGTGCACGCTGTTGCAATGACCCTAAGAAGTAACCACGTTGTGTAGCAAAGGTTTAGCCACTGGGAGAGACCCCTAAGGGTGCAGTTAGCAGAGGACCACTAGCCTCACAGAAGGCTGGGGTGGTTGCGGCCTCACTGAAGTCTCCTAAGTAGAAGGCAGAAGATCCTACCTCGGTGAACACCGACAACTCCGACTGAGTTCCCTGGGAGGTGGGCAAGTCACTAACAGCTCTTCCTTCTCAGCCCTTAGCACCCATTTTGCAGACAAAGCTCCAAGGTAACAGTGCTAGAGACACTTTGAGAGAGGGCAAAGGAAGTGGTCACTCCTCTCTGCTTTCCTGTTCGCCCTCGCATCTTGAAATCTCTAATCTCTCTTTATCCTTCTGTCACTCCTACAATAGTGCCATTTTAAAGGGCCATTTCCAAGCCTTTTCCCTGGTTCTCAAATCTGCAGTTTTCAACTGCCCCCAGCCGCCGACAAGGTTGCCTGGATGGCTCCCATTCATGGGCCCCAGCTCCCTCACTGGGCTGGAAGGTGGCAACCGCGAAAATGAGAACGACTCTATCCTCAGCGGGACTTTAGATGACATCACATCCTCAGAACGCAAAATTGGACTCGGCAGCCGTCCGGAGGGCGCAACTTCCCGGCTCCGTATTTCGTTGTCTCCTGCGCGTTCTACTCGCGTCTGAGCTGAAAGCTGAGCCGCGCCGCAGGGGTGCGCCATGGCCTTGCCGGTGACCTGGCTGCTCCTGCCCCTGGCCCTGCTGCGTGAGTTTGCGACCCTTGGGGAAGGCGGGGGCGGGCTTGGTGGGGGGCGCGGGGCTCCCGCCTTAACTTCTCCGCCTGCCCTCCGCAGAAGCTGCCACGACCTTCGGGCAGCTGTCGTTCCGGATGTCGCAGAAAGGGCAGAGTCACCTGGGCAAGCAGGTGGAGCTGCGCTGCGAAGTGCTGCTGTCCAGCCTGGCGTCGGGCTGCTCGTGGCTCTTTCAGCCTCCTGGAGCCGCCACCAGCCCTGTCTTCCTAATGTACATCTCCAAAATCCGGATCAAGACGGCCGAGGGGCTGAACAGCAAACAGATGTCGGGTCAGAGGATCCAGGACACCGTCTTCAGCCTCACCCTGCACAACTTCCGCGAAGAGGAGCAAGGCTACTATTTCTGCTCGGTTGTAGGCAACTCGATACTGTACTTCAGCCCCTTCGTGCCCGTCTTCCTGCCAGGTCTGGGCGCCGAGGGCGCGGCTCCTCTCGGTGTGGGGTTTGGGATTCACCTCTGAACCCATTTTCACATAGAAGCCCGCTTGGGAGCCTCTTGGCGCCTCTGGGGGCTACTTAGATATTGTTCCCATTTCGCAGACGAGGAAACTGAGGCTAAGTTTGTGCGGCAGAATATCGCTTTTTAGGTCCTGCCGATCTGGGCTCGAGTTCGGGTGCTTGTGTGCACCCCGGGTACGGTACTTAAATGCTGAGCCTCCGTTGGCTCGTCAGTAAATGTAGATTTCAACCCGAGCCCACAAGGGAGCCAACAACCGCTGGACCTTGGAGAGAGGCTGTTGCAGGGGATGGAGCGGGCTCCTGCGTTCCAGTCGTAGGCGCCGGGTGCACTTCGTGGAGCCCGGGACACGGCAGGCTACCGTATCCGCCAGGAAGGGGTCAGCGCTGAGCCAGGAGGTCCCTATCCCATCTCTCCCGCCTTGAGAGCAGAGTGAAGCGCGGGGAACGGTCTGCCGTTCCTCCGGGGAACACCGGGAGAAGGCGTCCCTTAGGGCAGAGGCGCACGGAGCAATGGGGGAGGGTAAGCGTCCAGATCCCCAGCCCGGCCCCCAACCACGCTCTGTTGCGCCTGCAGCGACACCCACCACGACGCCCGCGCCGCGACCACTCACGCGAGTCCCCACCAAAGCATCGCAGCCAGTGTCCCTGAGCCCGGAGGTGTGCCGGCCGGCAGCGGGCAGCGCAGGTGAGGCGGGCGCAGGGTCCCGAGACGGTGTGGCCAGGGACGTTGCAGAGCGGGGGAAGAGCCCTACCAGGGAGCCTTGATCCTGGAGGTAGAGCCGAGGGCTGTTCAGGTCGTGGGGAAACCGAGATCCGGAGCCGGGAGACGTGCCGGGGCTGTCGGGGTGGAGTGGAGGATCTGACCCTGCTCCTAAATGTCGATGTCTTCGGTGTCGTCAGCGGACACGAGGGAGCTGCACTTCGCCTGTGTGATCTACATCTGGGCGCCTCTGGCTGGGATCTGCGTGGTCCTTCTCCTATCTCTGGTCATCACGATCATCTGCAATCACAGTAAGTCCTAGGAGATCACGGTGGGGAGCAGTTGGCTTCGCTCCAGCCCATCGCGCTGCATGCTCCGGACAGCCCTTGAGAGCACATGGGGTTGAGATTTCTGGGACTCTGAGCTGCACCGCACGCCCCGGCACAGCTCATTTCTTTCTGGAGACAAGACGCGGGGAAGCCCCTCTCCTTCCCTTTTCCACTCTCTGGGAAGATTTCGGGAGACGGAGCCCTATCTAACCCCAGGCTGCAGCACGGGCGGTGTGTTCCGTCCGCGCAGCAGCCAGTGGTGACAGCACAAGTCCAGGCTTATTACAAACGCCTGAGGGCGAGGGGGCCTCTGGCCCCTAGGACCAGTGAGTGCCCAAGAGGGCTGGGTCTAAACCACCACGGGTTGAGGTTTACTCTTGGCTCCCTCCCCGTGAACCCCTTACCCGGCTTTGGGTCCCACGCAAGTGACTGTACTAACCTATCTCACCTATACTGTATTTGCATTTTTTTTAATTATGCAAAGAGAGATGGAAAAGGAGCCCTCACCTGGGCTCTCAAGAGTTATACATATATAATCTTAAAGAAACAGGAAATGGGAAAGAGAAACCATATTTGGGGATCAGTGGGGGGGGCCAGTCATTTTACTCCTTCTTTTTCCTTATCCAGGGAACCGAAGACGTGTTTGCAAATGTCCCAGGTGAGTCTCTGATAACATTTGGGCCTTCTAACCCCTTAGGCAGCCCTGGGTTCAGGTCCTAGCTTTTCCAAGCAGCAGATGGTGAGAACCTTTCTTAGAGAGAGGCCATGGCCCTGGAGTCCTGGGGACAGAGAGTCAGCATAGTGACTTAGGAGAGAAGCAGAAGGTTGGTAACCGAAGAAAATGGCCGATGGTGGTGGTTTGCTTACATCCTCCCCTATCCCTGCGACCTTCCCAGGGGCTGAGAATCAGGTCAGCTGATGACTTTGGTTATCAGCCTCCTTCTCTCACCTCCATGGGGACCTCGACAAAGTCTCCAAGAAGCAGTCTGTGTTGAGATCCTGACTTCCTCACTTCCTAGTTATGCGACCTTGGGCACACTCTTTAATCTCTCATTACCAGTGCCTATCCCTCAGGTTGCTGCGAGGATTAAACAAGATGGCACAAATAAGGCTCTTGGCAGATTGCTGAGGTCAGCCAGCCAGTCCTGTGCTGGGAGGCAGGGGCGGGTGGGTAGACATGAAAAAATGCTGCACTGCATTACAGAGGCTCTTGCTGCAATGATGGTCGCCTCTTTTCCAGGCCCGTCGTCCGACCAGGAGGCAAGCCGAGCCCTTCAGAGAGATATGTCTAACATGGCGATGGGCCAGTTCAAGACTCCAACCTGAGAACTCCCCTTACAAGGAGAGCAACGGTCTTCTTTTGGTTTTCATTCTCATTATTATTTTCGTGGGTGGGGGTGGGAGGAAAGATTACTTTTTCTTTATGCCTTTACCTTGACACAAAGCAAAACTATATAATGTCTACAGTACACCGGAAGGATTACAATACCATTATGCACATGTATGGGGGGAAAGGGCTGTGTTCTCGGAATCGGGCCGTTAGAGCTGGTGGGTGCCTCACGGCCCCTTGGTGCAAACCTTTTTCCCACCTATTTTACAAAGAAGAAGGCTGAAGTCCAGAGATTGGGAGAAGCTTGACCAGAGTCACAGCAAGGCCAGAGCTGTTCCTCCGCACCGCTCAGGCCTTTCTTCCAGGTGCCTCTGTCTCAGCACGGGGTTCTGTGTTTCAAAGCGCAAGGGAACAGGTCATTTCTTGAGCACATGTGATAGACCCATTACTGCACACAGAACCCTGAGACAGTAATGAAATATGAAAACTTCTGCCTTTCACAGAGTTCTATAATGTAGTTGAATGGTACCAGACTTTTTTTTTTTTAATAATCAAGCATGAAATTGTATAGTTATTATATAAACAAGCATGAAATTCTTCAAATAAAGTGGACGGGGTAAACTGAATCCTGGAAAATGTATAACTCGATCTCTAAAGGAAATCTCTGAAATCCCGAAGTGGAGGCAAAATTGCTCTCCAACACTTCATTGAAGAGGGACCCATGAAAGAGGAGAAGCCACCTCTTTACAAATATGATTTGAGCATCAGTAAAGTTAGAGGTCCTCTTGAATCTCTAAACTTGACATGCCATATTTGAACATGCTCCTGGGATCGTTGATACCTTTTAAGTTTATAAAAGCAGAATTGTTCAAGCTGCCAGCACCAGCCCTGGCCTCCCCTCGACCAGCAGTTGTGAGAATGTGGTAGAACAGAGTCTGTTCCGGGGAGGAGGCTAATTGCTTAAGCTGCTGCCCTAAAATACATTTCCTCTCCACGGCGTTGTACAAGAAATGTGTGCTTGCTGGAGGAAAAAACTTAAATAGATAAGGAAATAAGAATCTCTCACGATTCTTTACCTCAGGTATAATCCATTGTTAATCTTATGGTATACATTCTTCTTGCTTATTTTCTATGCATATATGTAAAAAATATACTTTGCTTTTTAAAAAAAATGGGATTGCACTATGCTCTTTATAAGTGGCTTTAATAAACATTTATGGCATACCTTTTAACGGCAAAATAATATTCTGTTTTTGGTTGTGCCATCATTTATTTAACTATTACTCAGCATTTAGTTGTTTCCAATTTTTCACTACTGTAACACTGCTAAAACTTTGCACACATCTTCATTCCTTTAAGATAAATACCCCAAAGTAAAATGACTGGGTCAGTCCCCACTTTCACCTTGGACTCCCCATTTTCACATCGATTAAAACGGATTAGCCTCTCCTTGCATCACCTTATCTTTTGTTCTCTCTTGATAACAAATGAGCTGATACTCCTCTAGTACTAAATGACAAAATCTTGTGTTGGGGTAAAATATACATACCGGAAAATGCACAAATCATAAGTGTACAGCTCTGAGACACCATTAAGTGAACACACTCAGCCAGCACCAGGTCAAAATAGAACTTTTCCTGTCCTCCAGAAACTGCCTTCCATAACCTTAATTTTTAAAACCCAGGTACTTTTAGAGAACAGAAAGTGAGAGGAAAAAGTATCCCAAGTGTGAGAAAGTAGAAGTGAAAAGTGAAAAACTTCTGACAAGAGAAAAATTCTGATATCTTAAATTACAGCAGGCCGGAGAGTGAGAGAGATAAGAGGAATTACCCAGTTAATAGCTGTGGGCCAACTAACAAAATGACTGCTCACATTACTGAATATATCTTGGAGCTTTGAGCCAACTTACAGATGGCTATCTAAATGGAAGTAGCAGATCGCCAGATGCCGCCACATCCTGCTTACGCATGAACTTTTTGGACTGTTGCCTAGGACCAAGCAATAGTAAATATTTCTTTCTTATAGACTGTGCACCTATCCTAGAACTGTGCCCAGTTCACCTTTTCCCCTATCTATAGCCAATGTAAATTCTTTCAAAACAACTCCCATCCTTCTTCCCCGAGACGTAATGTATAAAAAAGCTGTCAACTCCAGGACAGTGGACATGTCTTCTCCACCTAGCCATGCTGCTGGTGGTTCAGACTTCGTGCCCCAGGACCCGGTCCTTTTCTGGCTAGCATGTGGCTCAATAAACCCTTTCTTTCAGAAAAGCTTTCAGCTGTGAAAGTTTTTAACACTTCCAATGAGTTGAAATCTTGCTCTTGTTCTCTCCTCCCTGAATCTATCCAGCTGACCAGAACCAAGGGACACCCCCAGGGACTGAAGCTCAGCTCCCCAGCAAGCTCCAGGCTCGAGGCTTCATTTGCAAACAGGGCCTGGGCTCTGGGCTGTCTCTGGGTTCCCTGCAGAGTGAGGAGGAACGTCCTGCAACAGGAACTCTTCCCCTCATGGAGAAACTTGTGAGGATGGCTGTGGAGCACCAATGTCAAAGAATCTGACCCAGGGCAAAGATAGGAAAAGGGCATTCCCATCACATGCAGTACTTCAACCTGCAGCTCAGGTAGTGAGCAGCTGGGGAGCCACTCTGGGGAGGCTTCGGAGAGTTAAAGACTTACTGATTTTTTGCCATACCCCTAAAAAAGGGTTTCATTTACCACAAATAAAAAATGGTAAATGATCATTTGGAGACTGAAAATATCAACGTAGGAAAAAGTACTAGATTGGCCTTCAGGACCAGGGAGAAAATAAAAACCCAATCTGTAGGCCATGAGGCTTAAATATGCTAAAGATGGGCTGTGAATTTCAGCTCCGTGCTTGTTGGTGACTCTTTGCTCTACGCATGCAGGAGCACCAGGCAGTTCAAAGCTGGCAGCCTCAGGTCCAACAGTAATATTTCACCTGCCAATATTTACCCTCAAGTATCGGTTCTACAAATATTCCCTTGAGGAAGATGCCCACAATACATTTTTGGACCCTGAAAAAAAGAAGTAGAGAAATGACTTCTCTATTGCACCGTAAACTTAATATCAGCTGGCTGAAATTCAGCCTCAATGTAATTCATTTAACAAAAACATATCCTATTTGTGGAGGAAATGGAACAGATAAAATTGTGATTTCTTTCTCCAGCTGTTAAATTGCTCTTAAGAGAGCCTACTCTACACTCTGCACCTCTTCAACCAGTAGGTCAGGAATAGGTCTCCCTTTTCTACAGGTAGGAAGCTGTCCCCACACCATCCTCCCCACTCCCTGCCATGTGCAAATTCTTCCCTGTACACAATTTTATGACCACTTTGGGTAGGTGTCATAAACCTGCTCCTAAAAGCAGGTGTGAGCAGCGTTCCCTCACCAAAGAGAACTAAAGGAGACCATGATTACCTTAGATTAGGTTAAATGCAGAGGCTCTGAAACCAGCTTCCAGGCTCTATTAACTGTATTCTGTGGCAAGTGACCTAATGTCTTGATATCTGTTTCCTCATTTGTAAAATGGGAGTTATAAGGGGGTCAAATATAGGGGGGTAGGGTGAAGTGGGTAAAGGGGATCAAATATATGGTAGCTGAAGGAAACTGGACTTTGGGTGGTAAACACACAATAGAATATACAGATGTTAAATTATAATGTACACCTGAAAATTATATAATTGTATTAACCAATGTTACCCCAATAAACTTAATTAAAAAATAAAATAAAATGGGAGTAATAATAGTCTCTACCTCAAAGGGTTGGTGGGAATATATGTCTTATATGTATCTTTTAAGTGCTTTAAACAGCACCTGGCACATAATAACAAATAATGCTGAATAAATCAATTCATACTAAATTTCTCAAAACTAGCATCATAACAATTATTGGAATGTAGCCCCCATGTCTGATTCTCTTCATTTTTATTCTTAAACAGGGGTACACGGTACCCAGTCCCAATGGATACACATGCTGTTGTATACATCCAGGGACCCCAGTGCCCCAGTGCACAGGACAGCCCTTCACACGTCTCACAAGAACTCAGTCCCAGATGGACAAAGCTGCTACGTCATTTGAAGCTCCCTTCAGCCTTGCAACATGAGTGCCACCACTCCACTGTGCTGTTGTTAGCTGTGCCTATCCACGGCACATAGGCACAGCACAAGAGAGCTCTACCGTCTTTAGAGCAGCTGGAGAAGGCTGGCAGAGCAGGATAAACACATGCTATCATCCTGCCATCTCTGCCCCCATCACTTTGGGCATTTCTCACCTGTGCATGCCAGTTACTAATTCCCCTTTTCTGCTCTCCCTTAACTAGTCATGACCTTCAGATGTGATGTCTTACATTTTACTAACTTAATAAAATAATACTACCAGTTATTTAGCACTCACTGTGGGCCAGCTACCTAGCTCACTTTGGCCTTGTCAAAATTATGAGATAGGAACTATTATCATTCTACTTTACGGATGAGGAAGTTTCAATCACTTGCTCAAGATCACACAACTAGAATTTGATGGGATCAGGATTTACACTCAGGTCTGTTGACAAAGTAATGTCCAGCCCAAGAAAAAGTCTTATAAGAGTTTGAGCCAAACTGATGACAAACGGTTGACAAAATCTCAATGGATTGAGAAAAAGCTCTGGAGAATGGCAGTTTGGCAGCTTATTTTATACATTAGAATCAAAGGAGGAGACGTAAGGAGGGTTACATGAACTTCACTGATAGTTGATTAGGGAGGTGAGAGAAAGCAAAGCACGGGTATCTCTGGGACTGGATAAAAGAAAAATGGAGAGACACGACTCCTTTTACATTGGCAGATACAGGATAGTTAACATTTACAGTACATGGTATGTGGGCAACAAGATAACAACGTGGTCTCGTGCTCTGGTGATGGCAGTTGTGCCTTCGAGGGGCCTGGAAAAAAAAAAAAAACTCTGACATCTCAAAGGTATGTTATCTTAGATGCTCAAAGACAACAATTTCAAAGGTAGAGATTGACTTTTATCAAGGAAGCTACAGGCCTAGGATGTGACTACCCATCCATGACCCGCTTTTAGTTAGGAATCGTTACAGACCACCCTGTGGTTACTTTTGGTCTCTGGGTTTATAAGACCCACCATGCGGGCCCTCCCTTCAGCTTGTTAGGTTTAGTATATGGCCCACTTATCCACATTCCCAAGGCCAAACTCTATAGTCTCTAATATAGCTCTGCTATATTGAATATTTTATAGTCTGTTTTAATTGGGTGAATAAAACATTTTAAAATTCTCTAAAAATCTATTAGTACCTCAAAATCAAAGATACTTTTTACCTATGCAGCCCAAGATAGAAAACAAAGGTCATCACCTGCTGTGATGTGAAGTAAATAGGAAAGAGTATGTTCTACAGCAAGTGTGGAGCAGGGGTCCTGTCTGGAGTTAGGCCGAGGCTCCTGCTTCTAACATGAATACTGCCAGGGTCTGAGAAATGCAGCTAAAGATATGTCAGTAGCTAACTCTATTTGTTTAATGTATCAGGTGAAAGGCGGAGACAACTGCTGGTGTTGATGGCTTAATTCCATTATGTGAATGAAATGTCATCGGTTTTCTATCTGAAATGGAAGTTAACTGTGGCAGAGCTTGCAGGTTTCTTTCGTAACAATCATTCACTCCTTCTTCCGCACTAACAGAGCCCTCATTTTATTACAAGAGGCAATATGACCAGTAAAAGACTACATTTCTCAGACTTCCTTGCAGCCAAGTGCGGCTATTCAACCACTGGGTGGAGCTTCCAGGAAAGACTCTTCAAAGGGTCTAAATCAACTGGACGCTTTTTCTTTTCCCACCCGCTCCCTCCTTCCTGCCTGGAAAAGTTATAATTAGACAGGGGTGAAACTGAGGCCACATGTAAGGCTGCGGAGCAGAAAGACGGGAACATGGGCCCCTGAGGCATGAAGCCACCATAAAAACCCTAGACTGCCTAATCTACACGTGCCACTAACTGGTACACACTAGCAAAGACAAAGGCCCTCAGCCCAAATTTCCTGAACCACCTCTCAAAGTTTTTTGAAATTTAATTTAGGGCTGATTAGCTCACTTATCTAAAATAACTAAAAGCAACAGAGTCTTGTGCTTAAGAATAAAAGAAAGCTTAACATGCATTTCTAATCTGTTCAGAAGGGAAAAGCTCTCAAAATGATTAGACTTGAGGGCTGCATTTTGCTTTAGAAGGGAAATGACATAAAAGTCCTTTATTTGAATGACAGTACTTGCACAGTAGCTGAATGCAGACAAATGGCATAAAAACAGCAATCTCTGTAAAAACATCAATCCCGAATGGAAACTGGCATAATATTACAAAATCCACATAATACAGGAGACCCGTATGAGTTAAGACAGTATGGTAAAGTTAGAAATCCACCCTCCTAGATGAGAGAAATGGGAAGCTATTTTAAAAGACAGAAGCCCATCAGTTGAGAGACAAGAACACCTTAATGTTTCTCTAAATTACAAAAAGGTTCAGAGCACTAGCTCTGAGACAAAAACATTAACTTGCTGTGTTTTCTTCATTACATTTCTTACTCTCAGATTATCTTGACCTGAGTTGTAGTGACCAAGTAGAGACCAAGTCAGTGCTGTTCACCACTCTATCCCCAGGACCTACAATGCTCATCAAATACGACCACTCACCTTCATTGCCTACTGTACTGGCCTCCCTGGCTCTAACCTCTTCCCCACCCCAACCACTTTTCATCCTACAGTAGCCAGAGTGGGTATTAAAGACACACAACTTATTCCATCTCTCCCTACTCTTCCCTCCCATCATCCTCCAGTAGTTAGGTCACTGGTGGAATTAACCTCACTACAGGGTCTTGGCGCTCTACTCTTGGGTAACCACCAAGCAATCCATAAGCTCCTGGGGGCCAACGACTCCGTCTTCTCAGTGCCTGGCAATTAAAAAATCCCATTAAGGTGCTGAAGGTGCCATTTTCTGCACTTAAAAAACACGTTTCAAATTTAAATGATTTCATTGCACAGGCCAACATTTAGCTTGAAGCACTTTACACTTCTCTAAGCTGGAAGCATAGGTAAGAAAGCTCAAGAATCCTTGACACAAAAGAACTCTTACATAGGTAATACTTGTAGTGTTTAGATATATTTACTAGAAGACCCACAAGTGCATAGGAAAAACCCCACCTCAAGAAAAGCTTTTTCAGATTTTTTGGGGATGGGGGGTGTGGGGAAGGAAAAAAATACTTCCTATCATACACATACTGACAGAGATGTCAAAGTAGATTTGTGAATGGATTGTTTTATCATTGTCCCTTAATACAAGGTTTTTTAAACTGTGGATCTTGACCCATTAGCGAGTCATGAAATCAATTAAACAAGTAAGAGATGAAAAATATCAGAGTGCATCACACATTATAAGGATTAAAATTTTGTAAAACTTATTTCAGAAATATAACTATGTGTATACAGGTTTATGATATTCAACTTATTTCTTAGTGGGTGCCAGAAAGTTAGGAAAGCACGTTCTCTGGGGAGTGACAGTTCTGTTTGCTGGGATGTTTACCAAGCTCCTCTATGGGGAGGTGAGGGGCATCCAGGTTATTGTTTTGTCTTACGTGCATTTGCCATTACAAAATTCCATTATTTTACACCTCTGGTGCTCATCCTTCCCCATTTTGGTGGAGAGGAGGTGGAAAATGCATTTGATCATGCTGCAACTAGAATTTCCTCAATTACCTAGATGCTTAAAAGAATACAATGATTTTTAAAATAATGGGGGGCTAAAACAGAATTGAAAGCAACACTAAATTAACTTTTCTTGATGACTCAGGACTTAGTCGTCAAGAAAAGGGAAAACATGTACTCCTCACGTTCGGTACACGTGATCTTTACCCTGCTGCATTTAAAGGGGAAAATACTTCAAAAAATAGGGAGCATCCAGGAGTCTCCTTGTAAGGAAAGCCAATTTTTTCCTGAACATGAAGATTCTGTTCTGATTCAGTAGGTCTGGGCTGAGGCCCAAGATTCAGCCTTTCCCACAAGCTCTCAGGCGATACCAATACTGCTATTGACCACGCTTTTGAGTCTCAGAGAACGCCAAGTGCTGCTGGGACAGGTGATGAGATCTTTGGCCTGGCCTGCCAGGATCTGTCTATACCACCTGGGCCACTAGCTCAATGAACCTGGGTAGTACCCACTAGTTCCCATTGGTAGGAAACCTTCTAAAATCTCAGATGAGTCTCTAAAAATATATATATACAAAAGAAGCACAAACAGATTCTTAGTCTATTACCTTATCTTGTCACTGAGTAGGAGAGACAATTCACCCCCTGTTCCTCCCTGGCCATGCTGAGTGTTAGCCCCGCTCCACCGGCAACCTGGGTAGAGCGCTTTTGGGCTCCTCTTCCTAGTAATACACAATCGCTCTGGTCAGAGAGCAGAGCAGGGTCCTGGCCACCCACAGGGAGAGTTAGTGGAAACACTAAGGAAACCACCTACTTAAAAACCGGGACTGTGCCCTGGAGCCACCTTCCCTCCTCATACTGCTAGCAACACAGAAAAAAGGTGACAAAGAATTTAAGTTCTTTACATGCAGACTCTTAGCAAATTCTCTTTTCTGTACATTCTGCAATATTCTCTTCTCACAACTGGCACCTCCATACACCCTCCCTCCTACCTCTGTTACACTTATACAGACTGCTTCCACAAAACTTTTAAGATGTGCGTTTCTTTAATTTTAAAAAACATACACAGGAGAAGCCATGCATTTGACAAAGGAAAACACATTAACAAAGCATTTCTTAAAGTTCCCCAAAACTCTAATATATCAGAACGTTCGAAGTTAAAATGAAATCCCTGGAATTACTGGATATTCTAAACTTTTTCCAAAATCAAATGAACAGAGAATATGGTTTGTGTTAAATCAGGTTTATTGTTAGCTTTATTGCCTATAGTCTATAATATGCAACTTTATTGTGCCTTTGCAAACAGGATACATTTCTTAAAAAACTGATCAAAATTTTCCATACATATAGCTCTATATAATAGATTACAGTGCAACACTATTCTTGTTACATAATTATAGAAATACTATAGAACCCAAGAGCACAGGGTAAGCAAAAGAAATACAATCCTGAGCCATCTGATCAAGATGATTTGATGAATCCTTTAAGTTTAGAGAACTTGGAGGAGGGAAAAAACATGCACACTGCAGTCATGAGCAAAATACATTAAATACCTGTTTCTTGCTAGACACGGGTGGGGATAACGGTGAATTTCAAAGACATGCACACTCACTCACGCTCCCATTTTTTTCTCCTGCTTCCCTCCCTCCCCCAATACATTCACTCCCACCCTTTCCCAAAAGAAAAGATCAGGCACTAAATCCTAGTGAATCCCACAAATGTTTGTTGGAGAATGTTAAGTGACTGCTAAAATAAAAGTGTAGGTCCTCACCCATAACAGGAAACAAAGCATGTGCTCTAAGTCAACTCCAGCTTCTTCCACCTCTTTGGAAGTAAATGAAGCATATGCTTACTACAGTTTAAAACTACAGAGGGAAATGTCTTGAAAACAAAACTCTGTTTTCTCTCCCTATGTCTTGAAGTAAAATCAACAGTGGAAAACTTGACCTAAAACTAGTTGCCTCATCTGTTACTAAAATACATTTGTCATTCTAGTTTTGGTATCTATTCAATTATAGTTCAATAAACAGTCCATGAAGTTTGTACTTGCTTATGGTAAACACTGCAGTACCAGATAAAACCTGCGACAGCTGGACAGGCTTACCAAGTACTGAAGGTATGTATGTGTTTCTTGTTAACATTCCCTCAAGACCACAGCATTCCAGTATTACCGAAGATAGTGTATGTAAAGTAATGAAAGGTATTTGGTTTGTCTTCACCTTATACACCTTAGTGATGAAATTAACTAAACTATGCTTCCATTTCTTCCCTGAAAATAACCTGAGTCTTCTGACTAAGCGAACTGACCAGATGGACTAGCAGTTGACTCAATCAGAGGTTGAGCTGGAAAACCAGAGGGCTAATGTCTACCAGCGGCTTGTCTTGTGCGGGTAACCAAGAGTTCTTGGTTTTTGTAGTATCTATTATCCCAAAGGCTGAAACCACTGAGGTGGAAATTACTCACAGCATAAAGAATACTGCACGTAAACTGCATAACCTGTGGGACTACCTGGAGAGAAAAAAGGATCCTCATTCCCCACATAATTTGGTGTGGGTTTTAGTGTCTCTGTATACATCGGCTGCCACAGAAAAATCAAAACGAAAGATTTACTTTATAACTTTCTTATGTTCAATTAAATGCTCATACACGCACAAAATACTGACATACTCTATGAATATGAGGTGGCTCTTTTCAAAATTTTTAAAATTAAGAGGCACCAATACCCGTTCATTTATGCATTGGAAGTCTCATACCACCACCACTAAAACAATAGAAATGGCATCTCTGGTGATCACAAAAAGGAGAAAAGATTTAAAGACAACCTTAACCACTGTACTTCAGATTGTACTTGAAAGCATAGATGCTCTGGCTAAACCAGAACCTAAGGATCTAGTAAGGTTTTAGTAGTTTAGCTCAGTCCATGGCTGAAAAACAGAAATGGTTCCCAGAGAAATTTAAGAAACCACTCTGAAATCGTTTTCAATGTAATTATAATTAGTCTGACTGTAAAAAATCTTAGCTCTAGGCAGAACATGAAGAACATCCTCCTACACTGCTGATACCCATAGTGTCAGCAATGATGTAGCCCCGACACCATTAGTGAAGATGTGTCTAGAGCAGGAAAGACAACATGTTGTATTTCAGTATCTTTGGTTAAGGTCTGGCCTCTTCAAATCCACCTCTCCTTCACATTTAGTCACCAATGACTTTTAAATCCATGCATCTAGTTAAAGGTCACAACAAATAATTTTCACATTTAATTGTTAGATCAAGAGTTTCAAAATTTTTGGCCTTAATCCTGTCCAGGACTATAAGGACCTTGCACAGAAAACTGTAAAATCAAATGCTTCAGTTAAAGCATGTTCCTTTTAAAGTTCCATGAGCTTCACAGAAAACTGTCAATAGGATTCCCAACACTGAGAGAGGGACAAAGCAGAGCTCTGGCTTTTGTCTTTGAAAGTAGCCTGAGACAACTACGTGAGTCGCTGGCCACCAAAAATATTTACCACCAGCCTCTAAAGCAACATCTATATAGTTCGAACCTTATGTAAAACCTACATGCTATGTAGGTGTTTGAGGTGGAAAGGTGAGAATAAATTGTAAATAAAGCTAAATCTGCCCTAATGAGAAAAAGGTTTTTTAAAAAAAGATGCTCTGGGTTTATTTCAAAATAAAAAATATATAATAAACCAGTTTTACATCCTTAACCAGAGTATTGTATTGAATTCTCTACCTTCCCTTTGGAGTCCAAAGAGCTTCTCTCTGCTTTGTTCCTTCACTGCTTTAGTAGAGAGAGGTGAAACTTTAGAGAGGGTTCCCAAAGGAAAACAGACACACTGGGAAAAAGTTGCCGTGAGGCTAAGACCAAGGCTGGACAAAGCAAGCACTCTGAACGGGCTAATCACGATTCCCGGCCAACTAACCTATGTGACCCACAGCGGCCCTCAACATAAGCCTGACCAGAACTTCGGTCAAACAGGGCTTTCCGCAGTACCCTTCTAACCTTACAAACCCCAGCTCTCCCATGTAAGTAAGCATTTCAGGATAAGCCATTCAGGCTGGTACACTACTGCAAATGCTGCCATTTTCCAATTAGCACCAAATCTGTTCTCTTCCCGCCCCCCCCTCAAACTAAGCCAATCTGTAGTTTAAAATGTGAAGTGTCATGGTTCTCTTTGATTCTGTGCTTTCTTCTTTTTTCATTTTCTCATGAAAGTTTTCCTATATTGATGTTCGTTTCCATGTCAGATGAAATAAAGTTGCAAAATATTTGGTGATTTTCATACATCATTCTTCTCATAATGAAGTAACTTAAAGGGTTTAAGTCGGAATTATGTCCACAGAAGTCTTTTTCCATGTAGTTCATCATACAGAGAAAGACTCTTACACATGGCTATTTCTGGATAGTGCATTAAATGAATATACCTCACAAGAGAAAAGATCATTATGTGTATCCATTAGAATAATATACAGATTCACAGTCAATGAGATGATACACGCTGCAGGAGAGGCAATGAACAGTATACTATTCAAATACAAAAACAGCAATAAACATATTCTGTACTACAGAAAATGTGCTAGATTCTAACTTTCAGGATTTAAAGTAATGAGTTGGTAACTGCATTTTAGGACTGGAACATGCTTCTTCCCTTTCAGATGCACAATGTTTGATGCTGGTGTACACACACACATACACACACGCACGCACACGCAACACTGTGTCTGCAATGATATACAGCCAAGTCCTGAAGGCCAATTTCAGAGAACAGGGCTACCAAGACCAAGAGAGCAAATATCAACTTAAAAACACTTCTACCTTCAGAATTTCATTTTATTGAGCACACTTTTAAAACAAGCACCTCTTGGCAATAAAAGCAAAGAAACAATAGTACTCCTTCCACTGTTATAGCGGAAGACTTCTCACACCAACCTGCTAAATTCATGATGGAATTTTAAACAGGTAGCCAGGCTACCAGCAGAGCTCAAATGCAGGCCTGCTGACTTCTCAGTGAGAGGTGGAGCAGAGAAAAACATCAAAAAGCAAATTTGGAATCTATCACAGCTTTCTTCCTTAAGCAAAAAAAAAAAATGCAAATTAGTTTTATAACCACAATTCAGTTTTTCCAAAGAATTTTCATTTACTTATGTATACATAACAAAAAATAAAACCTTTTCACAAACATTCTCAAAGCTTACAATTATCAAGTAAATGACAAAAGTAAAAGCAGGAGAAATACTAAACACATGGCAGGGAGGTCAAGTTCTGTTTCTGCTCTTAAAGAGTAAAAAAATCACCATATAATTAAGTACAAAAACCTGCATTGAATGACAACTGCTGGTGTATTTACTTGATCAAAAATGAAGACCAAGAATATAATAAAGCCCTATGATAATATTCATCTGGAGCACTCCCCTCAGTGTGTGTGCACTAAAATGTTGGCAAAGTTTCTGGAGCATCAGCTTATATAAACACGGGAGTCCTTGGTTAGCTGCATTAAATGGAACGGTCTCTTCTGAAATCCACAATTCAGTTTCACTTACAAATTGCAAACTAAAATCATTTCTTCAGAAAAATATCTGTTTGGCATCTCCTGGACTTTGTTCCATTGGACAATATGGACATTTTAATCTAAAGACAAAAAAAAAAACAAAACAAAACATACATTGAATCAAAGAACAGGATCAGTAATGAACATTCAATATCATCTAATTATAAAATGTCTTTAACAATTAAACACACACAGACTCAGACACATGTCTGTATTTTGAGGGTTAACTGTGCCTTCCCTTAATATAACCAGCTTTGAAGGGTCACAAATAAATACCATCTAAGGCAGACCCTAACCTGAAAGGCCCTTTTTCAGCAGAAATAAATAAAAATTGTTTTGTAAACAAAAGACAATTGTTCTGAAAACCGCTTTTGGGGGTTTCAAAAGTAAATTCAATTTTTCTTCTCCAAGGTTTAGGTTGCACCTATCTCCAAATGAATTTCAAAACTACTGGTCACACAATTCACTCAAGTGCAGCAAATTCGATGCCAGCTGCTGAGCCTACAAGGCATGTAGCTTACCGAGAGCAACCAACATGCCTTGTTGTAGGGCACACAAAACCAGCATGGTTCACGGTTTGGGAAGGGCATAAACACCTTCGTTACATGCCAGGGCCTCCTCTTAAAGGAAAGACTTTACTATACTGGGTCTGAAATAAACGCTGGTGAAAAATTTTCTAGCTGCCTAAGCTAGAAACAGACTTCTGGAACTTTTTTTAAGTTGGGTTCATGACGTATACAAATTACGCATGTATATATCCTTGAATTAGCAATTTCAATTCTATCATTTTTTTTTAATCACATATAGATAGGGTAATTCACTTTACAATAATAAAAGTTAAATGCTCACCAATAAGGAACTGGTTAAATGATCATTATTCCCATATAGAAGAATACTCTACAGCTTTAAAAAGAGAACGAAGGCTCCTTCTGTAGAATATAAAAGATCTCCAAGATATACCACTAAGTGATAGAATAGCATATAGTATGTTACACGCTACCATTTGTGAAAAAAGGAAGGAGGAACAACATTGTGTTGTCTACCCAAAAGAGTTAAAGATCATGTTTATAAACCTAATCAACAAATTCATGAACAAATTAAAAAGACTGACAAAAGATCAGAAACCACGATGCCAAATGAATAGTTACAAAATCTATTTCTAAATTTTAATGACATTTATTTGCCCTCATTACTTCTTATCCTCCCATTAAGTTACAAAAGAAAATTTTTTACTATCATTTAAAAAGTCTGACACTTACTTGCTACCATTAAACATTTTATTCAGGGCATCTCTTGATATAATATGACCACAGACCAATTTCATTGGTGGATTGTTATCTGTTGTTTGCTGACGAAGAATGGGACAGGCAAATATTGAGTGATACCAGCACTTTTTACCAAGGTCCACTTCAATCTGTAAAAATGTAAAAAGGCCCAAGTTATATCTCAGAACACCATCATATTAGTATGCACTGTGCAGCAAACAGCATTTATCAAATCTATTCATCTGAATGTACCTTTTTACAGTACTCTTCTAACTCAAGGAATTCAAGTATTACTTTATGATTCTAAATTAACCTTCAAAATTATTTATAATACTACTTTCAAACCAAATTCTGATGCCTAAGAGTTAAGAGTAAAAAGCAAAACAATGCTCTAAAAGTCAGTCTTGAAAGTTCATCAAGTTATATCTAACAGCAAAACCCATTCCTGAGTGCTTTTTAGCACACTTAGCTAGGTGATAAAATTCAGTAATTCCTTTAAAAGCAAGCTAAACATGGTTTACTTCTGTGCGAACTTCAGATCTGAGTTTTCCATGTTTTGTGTGTAAGCCCAGAGAAACCACCTGAAACAAGGGCTTTAAGCTAAAGTTCAGCAGATCTTTTCACAATTTGCACATCAGAGGCCACAGCACTTACATCGATTATTTCTCTTTGCAGTGAACAAAACAAACAAAAGCTATGAAATCATCTAGCTTGCAGCTGGCATGTGATAGAGGCTCCTCTAATGCCAATTGTTTTCTTTTCTTCAAAATCTAAAATGGCTATCACTTCAAAGAGTCTACACCCAGACTCTTTGAAGAAAGCTGACAAAGTGTAACAGAATAATCCTGAGAAAAAATGGCCAGATCATCACTTTCGATTGCTTTATTACTTGACACACAAATCTTAGGTGAATTCAGATTTCAGTAGTGCACAAGTGTCAGAAATGCTAACAACATGAACTTGGGAAACTGCCAGATTCTTGTAGGTACCGGCCTCAGCAAAGCTCAAATGAGCAGCAGCAAGCAGGGGTGCTTGCTGCTTGTGTCCTGACCACACTCAAGACTGGGGACGCACCTGTGCTTTGAATCAAACCAGATCTCTGAAGAGAAGCTGGAGCAGCCAACAGACAGTTAGTTACTAGCTGGAGGAACCAGTAAGGGCAGATAAAGCTGTGCACAGATGTGGCAGAAAAGAAGCAAAAGCCAAATGCATGTCACGTTTTAGCCCTTTAGGGTCTATGATACAACCATGCAGGAATAATTCCCAAAGTGATAGTGCCTACTGTCAAGAGGCCTGGCAGAAACTGCTACAGTGACCTTTGTCCCTACTATGGTAGCAAAACTTGACTTCGATAAACTATGTACTTATATAATTAGCATTAGAAAAATATAACCAGCACAAACCTATGATCTCATAAATATCAATGCTTATGATAAAACTAAATCAAATTGATTCACTGCTTTTATATTTTAAAAAAATCATAGTACGAGTGGTTTGCCAACTACAATGCAGAACATACTGCATGCTACAGCATACCCCACCCTCCCCACTTCTGATGTCTTCCTTCATTAGCTTTCATTACCACTCAAAGTCAAAATTTTAAGAAGGCTCCTCTAGTGCCTCCAATTTGTACTCACTCACCATTTCTATTATTTAATCATGTCACCACATACATAAAAGAAGCCCTATCAAAGAGCTACAATAATGTTCCCCAGTTAAAAGGCAAGACTGACATTTTAAACCCTTAACATGCACATTCTTCTAATAGCAAGAAAGGTAAATAACCAATAGAAAAATGGAACTCACAGGTAATTCATCTTTCTGGTTCCAAACTCCAGTGCACTGCCTCTGCTCAATCACAGCTTTAATATTAATTAAAGCTGGCAGCGCCACACACCCTGCAGAGAAACTGGGAGAACAGAAGAGGAAATGTCAATGCCAGTATCAGGCCAGTGTCAGGCAGCTTGGGCCTAAGAATATTGATTCCTCCAGACTGTGTGCGGGGGCCCTGGACACCGGGCACAGAGCTCTTTGCTCTGCTAAATTAGTACACACACACAAATAAGTTTTAAATTATATAAATCCACCAGATTTAATGGACTCTGCATACCATTCATTAATGACATTGTGACATTTTCTTGCACAGTTCCTTCTAGACTGGGATTCACCCATGTCAAGGGCACAAGTACTCAGATCTAGAAGCGCGAGCAGTCAACCCTCAGCTGAATCCCTCTTCAGGACTGCCCTTGGCTAAAAAAAGCCACCTGACAAGGGTCACAATTGATGAATGCTCCACACAGATACAAAAGTCTAGCCCTGTTGTCCCAATTTGGGACAACTCCACAGGCCCATTATAGCTCCAAAAGCTCCTTAGGGATGGGCTTTGGTGAGATGGCATCACATTCCAGCTTCTCCCTCTACCTAATCCTGCGGCTTTCATTCCCCCATCAGGGTGGATCCCAATAAATTTCATGTCAATCTCCATCCATTTCAGAGTCTGTTCCCCAGAGAAGCTGACCTGTAGCCTGGTCATGCATTATAGTTAAATGGATGCGAGTCTTTTATTCTCAGATGGAACACCCTGTGGGATGCAGACTGTACCTTATTTGTCTTCATATCCCACACACTGCCTGGAGCAGAGAAGAGATTCAAAACACTTGAGGAATTAAATGAATAGAAGAGCTAAAAAAATTATTTTCTTAAAACAGTTAAACTTTTTGGTTTCAGGACTCCTTTACGTGCTTAAACATTAGAGATATCAAAGAGCAATTGTTTTTATAGGTTATATCTATCACACTTTATTATATTAGAAATTAAAACCAAGAAACTTTAAAAATATTGATTCGTTTAAAAATAATTAAATATTACGTTACCATAAATAACATTCTTATCAAGATCTCCATATTTTCCAAACCAAAAGTAACTTTGTGAGAAGAGTAGCACTGCTTTACATTTTTACAAATCTCTTTAACGCCTGGCTTAACAGAAGACAGCTGAATTCTTAAATTTTCCTCCATATTCAATCTGTAGCAATGTGTTCTTTTGGTTGAAGTAAATGATGTAGCCTCACAGAGATATGTAGTAATTTAATTGCCTTTTCAGATAATTGTGATATTCTTTAATGCCACACCAAAACTCAACAAATAGTTTCTTAAAGGCTAGTTGCGCAGTGGAATCTAAATCCCTATCAATGAATTTTTTGTACCCTGCTACATTAAAATCCAATGGTCTGTCTCGTACTTTGAATCTTTTACTGAAGCATGATTTAGTGAGATCATAATGAATTAAGATCTTCAAAGTGTTAACACATCTCTTATGATATCAAAAAATCAATTTCATTAATTATCACGTCCAATCTCATCAGAAAAGTCTTTAAGTACTGGGGAAGCTGTCAAGCTCACAGTGGCCCTACAAGTTTTCCAAAAGTTCTACTTTAGCTTAAAATCTTGAATTTTATCATGGCAAAAGATACTGTCAGTTGTTTTCCTTGATGTGGCAGGCTTTGTTCCTTTGAAAAAACCTGAGTGTAAGTAACTACAGTTTGTCTTTCAGTGATTCTTTCAAGTAAAAACTGTGTTCCATGAAAAAAGCAACCAACTTATTAGCTCTTAAACAACATACGGGTGGCTTTTTCTGGAGACAATCACACTTTAGAATGAAGCTGAAGTCTTTTATGTGAACTTTCTATTCCGTGACACAAAATATTAAAAAGATGTGTACTCGAATGTCAAGATTTAATAAAACTAATCATTTTTAATGTTTTGTCAAGAACATCTTGAGTAAAACGAGCATGTCTTAAACTGCAAGTGTGTGGTGGTGAGGAACACTGGATTTTGAGTCCACTGCCCCGATCTGTGCTAACGCTCAAGCACTTTAACCCACCATTGTTTCCGCACCACCTGTGCACATGTCAGTACAGTGGAAAAGGCTCTCAGAGACCTCCAGAGGTTCACAGGCTACACTTTGAGAACCACTGCTCTAAAACTGTCACTGTCAATTGCGACAATCTTTTGAAATACTAACTGCATTCTTCTTCAGAAAGATAAACACTCTCTCTCTTGGCTTTAAACATCAAGAACTAGACAACATTATGAAGAACTGACCAATCTGGTACATATTTCAGTAACGGAGAGGCCAATTTCCATACCTGACACTGAGAGGGGACTCCACGGAGAGCCCCAGGAGGGCACAGGCATCCCGTGTAAAGATGTCACAGATGTCAGCCCACTGGTTTGCATCAAGCAGGTGAACATATGGTGAGTTCTCAATCCCTTGTCTCAGGTACACGAGGCTTCCCATCAAAACCTGAATGTCTAAACAAAAGCAGCAGCGACTTGGAGGTGTGAATGATTACACCTGAAATAGAGCTGGCTTGCAGGTAATAGGTTGAGAAAGGTGAGAATACCCCCAACTGACACAGCCTAAAATAATTTATTAACAATGTCTTCTAAAATTCTAGTCCTTAAGCTTGGTTTCTCCCTTCACTCTAAATTAAAAAAACAATATAGAGAAAGAGGAGAAGAAAAGGAAAGCACTAAATATTGAATTTGCAGTTATTTTATTCTTATACATAGCATAGTATAATCACCATTATCTCGAGGAGTAACAATTATGTTATAAATGGGGCCATCACATATCTTTGGGTGCAGAAATAGCCAGTACTCATACACTGACACTAAGAGTTAACTGCTGCCATCCTGGTGCACCCTGAAACACTTTGTTGTTTCATAGCAGCAGCACTGGGGGGGAGGAGGACCAGAGGGAGCAAGTACATACTTCATTCTTTCTCATGTCTCCTCTTAGTTTAATACAGAATCCCAAAAAATGCAATGTCTCTTTCTGACTTTTCACTCATGAGTCTTCAATATTTTATTTTTGTTCCAGAGCCAGTCAAAGCTTTTGCTGTGATTATTATCTATAATTGTTTTAGTTTATTAGCAAATATGTATTAGATCTAGTTAAGATAAACTTAAATTCCAGTGGTGACTATGGACCTATTCTAAACATAAAAACATCTGACTCCAGACTTACCTTTTTGATGATTTAGGGCAAATGGCTGAAAATTTTTAGCATATTGTAATGCCTCTCGCTGATTTGTAGTTCCACCCATTAATAAGCTAATAAAATACAGTCTGTGTAGCTTAAATTCCAAGGAGCTGTTCTGGGCTATAAGCATTTCTCGGTTTGATACCGCCCATCTAAAGAAAAAGCAAAAAAGATTTTAACAATAATTAAGAGCACAGGCAAGGTGTGTTAAAAACTGAAACCTAACAACATGAAAAAAGAGTTTGGGCTGCCATCTTGTGGGAGTCAGTGGTAACATCACTCCCTGGGCCCAGAAACTTTTATAAATAAAGTAAATTATAACAATTAAACTAAAGAGGCTTTTCAGCCAGTGGAGAAAAAGTAAAAGTATGTTAAATGACAACTACATATTTAGTAAGGTTTTACACTAAGACATGATTGACTCTGATGAGCACAGGACAGATCTGGAATTGTACAAGGCCATACTTTGAAGCAGGTGTCAGCAATGAGACTCATTACTCAGCTACCTAGAACCACTACTCTTTTGTTAAACTGACATGTTTATAAATAAATCACAAGATTCTGAAGGGGGAACACCTATCTTCAAACTTTTGTTAGGTGCAAGATGTTGTGCTACTCACATCATTAAAAACAGTAAACACAGGTATTTACCCTCAAGGTGCTTTCAGACTAATCAGGCAGATAAAGCTACATAAACATCATATGTCGTATCACACTGTGCCAAAAATATTTATACAAACATAGTGCTAATGAGAGAAAAAACAATGTTTTCACATTTCTTAAAGTCATTTTTCCTGTCAGTTTTGAATAATCCAAAGTACAGTGACTCGGGCCTCTATGGTACACAGCTGGAATAACCAATCTTAAACTGGGACTACCAGTTCAGGTGAGCACTAACGTAGAAAAGTACACCAGCCAGCTGTTAAATTCAATTTAGCAATCAAGTGGTAAGAAGCATTATTTTATGTCTCTAAACATATTAAGATGTAAAAGCTGTTAGTATCACATTCTTCTTTAATCTGACCTTTAGTTGGACAAATATTCTCTACCTAACCCAGTTTGCCAGAACCACTGAAATCTGAACTGGGTGTGAATAAAAGTCTGAGTAACTACAACTATAAGAGCAAAATGCTTCAAATTATTCACAATGAATCAGCTGACTGAAATTAGACTTTACAGAGTTACACTTTCACTGGATCCTATCCTTCCTGAAAAGGGCTGCACATGCATATGAATATTCTTTAGCTTGTTGACGCATCCATATTTTGAGTCAAATCATGAAGCTTCTCTGACCTCAAAATCAAAATGATTTTTAAAAACATTGATTACCCAGATCTTGGAAATACTTGTATTTAAGTAAGCCTTGGATCCTTGCCTGGCACTAAGATGAATGCAGTCAAGCTGCAACATCAGGTCTGATAAATCCTCTGACACCAACAAGGTACTTCCAGCAGCTATCTTTTGTGACTGCCCAGCACCAATCGTCAGTATCAAAAGTACTGTGCTTCTGGCAGTCTCTAGTCTATTAGTCACCTTCTTGACTTCCAAATCCAAGGAGTGCATTTAAATCAGGTCATTTACCTAAAATTTATCCCACCCCCTCACTCATAAAAGCTTAACTATGTTTTCCTACTAATAAATAAAAGAGGCAAGAAACCTTTTTTTCCGCTTTTGATATGCGGTATATGCGTAAAAGTTTCTAAAGTCAAAGAAGGGAGTTAATAGAGTAGCTACGAATTTTAGTAAACGATGAAATCCAGCAGAAAAAGGGCAAAGTCTACAAGTGGGCAATTCACAAAAGAAAACAATCTATTTCACTGTCATAGGCAAATGTTCATGATATAATGTTAAAGGGCGGGGGTGGGGGAAGGTGTGATATATAGAAAAAAGTAACTCTCGTCACCAACATTTTTAACAGTAATAACTCCCAGGAAGTTGGACTTCATGCATTACTTATCAGCCACTACAGCATGGGCTATGATTAACCGGAACAGCAACTACTGGAGGAGCACCAGGGGACTTAAAACAACCAGGAGGATATACCAACAAACAGTAGCTAACAGCAATCCAGATGACAGTGATTTTTAAAATAGTCTGTGTGTCCTATGTTTCCCAAGTTTTCTATAATAAAAACATATTACTTTTACATTTAAAAAGGTAATAAATTTTTAAGGTAATGCTAAAGTAAACAAAACTTTATTTCCCTTTTTCATCAAAAAGCTAACAGTAATTGCAAATTACATTTCTTAAAAGTAATCCAAGCTTTTCAAGTTTTAAACATATATGCCCCATTTTTTTAAACTTGGAGAGGTGTTTATTTAGACAATTCTTTAATATACTACTTGAATTTATTTTTATACATTTTCAATTTGTTATAAACAAGGCTAATAATCATAAAAAATTGGCATTGCAACTTCCTGTTCCCCCCACCAAGAAATTTTTAGAAAAGTAAATGATATTCATTACAAAAGGTAGCTGAGGCAGTAAAGGGAGAATGCAAAAACTCAGATTCATAGAATACAAGTTTTCACATGTTTCTTAGTCATATATTTTGTTATTCCATTTTGAAACAATGTTATATTCATTTCACTTCTGAATATTATACTAAGCCTAAATATCACAAGGCGAGGGATTAGAATAACTATTTCTAAGCTTTTCCCTCCCTGGCAAAAAGTCATTTTCTAAATTAAGGATGCTATTTCCCAGTTTTACCCCCTAAACATGTAAGCACATTTATATATTAAGGTGAAATCCTTGCCTGATAGGACCTCTCCCTCATACTCCCAGGACTGTACCTAGGCAATCACCATTTGTATTTTCTTGACCTCAATTCCTTGGCTACAATTAACTGGCCAGATAAGCATAGCTTTTAAAGTCACTATGTGTTGCCTCCTAATAAGAAAGTTCATATAGCTTTACCTCCTTTATGACAACTTCATGATCCTACATCTTTTGTTGTATAAGTTCCTGATGGGGTTGCCTTCCATGACAATCACTGGAACATCCTCCTTAACTAATCTTTGGATCTGGGTACAAATTTCACAGCAGCATTCTTATCCACACTAGCATCCCCCACAGATAATTTAACATTAGTCAATTCATGATGACTTTTGAAATAATGAAACCATTTTTTATTGGCAGGAAACTTCTTCAGTCTCCTTACAATTACTGTTTTGTTTCAATGAGGCAACTTCATCACATTTTGGCCTGAATGTTAGCCAAACTGATGGAGCTTTTTTTTTTTTTTTTTTTTGTCTTCAATCCAAAGTAGAAGTAAACATTCCATCATTTAAACCATAAGGAGCTTTGTGTTCCCAGTACAATTTAAATTAAGGGTGCTGAAGCAACTCTACTTGGTTTTCATAGTCACAAAACTTTTTCAGTATGCTTTGTATCATGGTTTCATGTAGGCCTAGGTCTCATCCTAGCTTCACTTTGCTGTCATCATTTTCAAGTTTTTTAATCACACTCAATTACACTTCTAGCAATTCAACTTTGCTGACCAAGTCCCTCTCTTTCAATTATTCCATTTCAGTAATATATCACATGGGTTTATCATGGGGAGATGAGGAGCCAACACAACTACATACTTGCCGTCTGAGGGTGAATGAGTGATAAACAGTGACCAATCACTGACAGACTTTGAAAGAAGTGATGTGATCATGATGCACAACTATTATTTATGTTGTGATGTGTGGACTGAAGAGTTGGCACAGAGAAGTTTGTATTTTATGCAATTATTCACAATTAATGTATCACGGTAATTGAAATTTGAACTGTGTCATTGGGGAACTGGTGTTAACTAAACTTTGGTAAGTGAAATTTGGGCACATTGGAATTGTGCAGAGAGGACAGCCCAGAGGTTCAACAGAAGAGAAGAACACAGGGATCTTAGAGGCAAGAGGTTACTTTATAAAGACAAGGAAGGCTCACAGTGGTACAACAAAGAAAAACATAAATTTGAGGAACCGAGCGAGTCAGGGTGTCCATGGTCTATTTTCATGAAACTCAAAGAATTAGAAAGAAAAGATTAGTTTTGTATTTTTCACCAAAATCTCTGCCCCTCCACTCTTTTTTTTTTTTTTTTTTTAATGAGGAAGGGCTCGGCTGGAAAACCCAGGGGTTTATGTCAGGAGGGGAAATTATGCCGCCACTAGGTGAAAAAAGCAGTGGCTGGCCAACAGGATAAATTAAAGGCATTTGTTATGTGATATGAAGAATTAAAGGAGGAAAATAGGCCCACTGAGAATAGAATGGAAGTAGAGAAAGGTATAGGCCAAAAAAAACATGCAAACATATTCAAATAATCTGATCTAGAAACTAACATTACCATCAATAGTGATGTGTCCAGGTGAACTAAAGCCAGTCCAGATAGAAGACTTGCTTGTTCCCGCTATGAAATTAGAAGACTTTCTCCTAACATAGGTGCTAGTTAATTTTTGCAACAGTACAGACACAAATTGAGTAGCTGAGAATAGAGTTGAAAAATTCAAGGCCCAGGTTCAATTACCACATTGTCTACAATTTTCCTAATAATCGCACCATGCACTGAACTTTAGATGTTCCTTATCTGAAACTCTCACATGGCTCATCGCACAATGTATTTGGTAGGAGTTTCTGGTCTTTTAAGGATATTTGATTTATGGAGCAGATATAGGATAGAAGATAGTCACTGCCTTAATTAACCTCATAAAAACCAAATCCAAACCTACCAAGCACACAGAACTACAAAAGCACAAAAATATAATCAGCACCAAAAACTTAACCCACTGTCTTACAAAGCAGTAGAAGTATATGACCAGAAAGAGAAAAAAACAGACATATTAGGGTACAGAGTTCTGTATTCTGGATAACGGCATTTCTAGCAGAAAACGTTTGATTTTTAATTTTTAAAAAAACCAACCACCACTATACTACAACCAGCAAGCTAACTAAACATTCAGTTAAGTTATAACTTTACTGCGACTTTTAGAAATAAATTCTACTCCCTAATCTAAGGCTATGAGACTACTGTCGACTTTGGAACTATTCCTTGTTTAGAGAAGCACTGTAGGCAAAAAAAATGACACCCAGTAAAGTCACCAATGTCACGATCATCTCTGTTTACCGCCACTGGATCCTCCAGACCTTTTGGGCCTCTTCCATAAAAACA